TTTTTTTAAAAAAACCTACCCGATACCTTGATTGAATTTATTTTTCCATTTAAAAGAAACTACCTACAAAATGCCGAATTTCTTATTTTAAAATGGAGTCAAATATCATTATGAATATACAATACCTCAGTTGCGCTCTTTGAATGAATTGTTTGATCACTCAGATGCAGGAAAGCTTTCTCTTTCTTTGGAGAAAGTGAGCTGGCTTTCTGAATCATTCCTCTGAATTAGATCTCCTAGTCCCATGATGGCAAACCTATGGCGTGCATGCCACAGGTGGCACACGGAGCCATATTTGCTGGCACACGAGCTCTCTGCTCCGATGTGCGTGCTGGCCAGCTGATTTTTGGCCTTCCAGAGGGCTGAGGAAGGCAGTTTTCGCCTCCTCTGGCTTCAGGAAAACATCTGGAGCCTGGGGAGGGTGAAACACCCTCCCTGCATAGGGGGTTCTCAGGGCTGGGGGTCACATGTGCATGCGCAGGTGGGTGGGATGCATTGAATTGTTGGTGTAGGCCCACGCATGCGCACAATAGCACGCGTGCACACAATTTTGGCACGCCTTTACAAAAAGGTTCACCATCACTGCCCTAGTCATTCAAAGTATAGTGGGAAACTGGTGCATTTCCAGCTTTGGTTGAATGACAAGTCTACCAGCCACCCAGCAGCCACTGGGAGTCCAGCAGCATCTGGAGGGTGACCAATTTCTCCCTTCCTAGGTGGCCTCTTCTACTATTGGGGTGCGCTTAATCACTTGAAATCAAAACATTCCTAGTTCAAGTGAAGTGCATTTCCTGTTTCTTCGTGGAAGAAAGATAGGCTTCGGTTACTGGCCAGATCATTCCAAGCTGACCCATCCCTTTGGTCTTAAATGTTGGCTTTCTCTATTACTTGGCCTTGAGCTTCGCCCACCGCAAACTTTGTTTTCCAGCAAAGAGGAATGTCTGTCCTTGAATTGTCTAGATTTCCCTGGCCAGGCTTTTTCCTCCTCCTTGTCCCCGTGGACTTGATTATCTTTCTCCTCAAGGGCTGCCCTGCTCTTCTTTTGTGCTGGGGGTTGACAGGATGTGTGTCTGAAAAAAGAGGGAAGCCATAGCCTTTGCCAAACTCCAGAGAGACAATGAGGTCAATACTCAACTGAAGGAGGAAAAGTCTCCAGGGAAGCCAACGGGTCAGATTTCGTTTCAAAATTGGGGGGGGGGGGATATCAAAGGGAAATGCGAGAGAGTTGTGGAAAATGGCTAGAGAGATTTTGTCACAACCTAAGCATACAGCAGGAATGGAGGCAGTCATTTTGCTCTTTTGTGGGTCTTACTGGAAGAGAATGATCAATGAATTGAGCCTCCTTTGTAATGATATACTGGTAATTGCTTTTGGAAACTGGAAAACACTTTAAACTGCCACTTTAAAAAGGTTGGAGGAGTCCGAAACTTTTAGCCTAAGGTTTTGTCTTGCCAAAGCTTGCGTTGGGATTGTAAGGGTTGTGTTTAGATATTGGATTGTCTAGTATTGGATGATTTGGTTTTGATTGGTTTCTAGTTCGTTTCTGCAAGACATCAACAAGCTTTTCTGGTTAAATGTTGGAAAATGCCCAGCCAGGCAAAGAGGAGAATCAAGTGGGGAATTAGTCTTGAATCATTTTGCAGCCACAAGAGATCCAGGACTGCCCTATTCCAAGCTATATGAAACCTTCTCTATCTGTTCCCAAGGGAAGGCAATCTCTGGGGAGATTCTTGTATTATTAGGCAGAATACAATAGAAGAATTAGCTTGAACTCTTCCTGTGTGGCTCTGGTTACTTGTACTGCACAATAGGTCTGTTTGTGTGTGTAAGATATTTTACTTACCGTATTTTTCGGACTATAAGATGCACCGGAGTATAAGATGCACCAACATTTTGAAGAGGTAAATTTAAAAAAAAAAAGGTTTTGCACTCTGCAAGCCTCCCAAACTCTCTGCATGCTTCTTTTTTTGAAAAATGGGGCACGAGAGTTTGAGAGCCCTGCAAAGTGCTCCTGGGGAATGAGCAAAAAATGGCCCATTTTCCGTGAAAATGGGCCTGTTTTTTTGCAAAAAAAACAGGGCATGCATAGGATTTGGGAGGCTTGTAGAGTGCTCTTGAGGGCTGGTGGGGGCAAAACGGCCTGTTTCCCACTCGTTTTTGCCCTCCCTAGCCCCCAGGAGCACTTTGCAGGCCTCCCAAACCCTCTGCACGTCCATTTTTTTTGAAAAGGAGGCAGGGTTTTGGGAGGCCAAAAATGCTGTATTCAGTGTATAAGACGCACCCAGATTTTCACTCTCTTTTTTGGGGGGAAAGGTGCACCTTATATTCTGAAAAATACGGTAATTTTTTGAAGTACATCATGGCTCTTACTGTAAATGCAGGTTCCCAAAAGAAAGATGCAGAAGCTTGATGGAGTGTGATTTGATATTTGGGTTTATTTTTCTAGTAATGGAAGTTCTTTTGATTAAGAAAGTTCACACAGATCATAGAAAATAATTCTAAACCTTGAAAAGAGGAGAAATATTTTGTAGCGCGGCTGAGTCAATAAGCAAAAAGATGAAGCGGGTTGGAACTGCTTTGACATTTCAATAAAAAAGAAATGTTTAACAGCTGATTTAGTGGGCCACAACTGCCCGTAGCTGTTGCCACATGGCTATGCTGTGAAGAGGTTGATAGAGGTGGCAGAGGGCTGCGTGTTGTGTGGAGGTGCACACCTTGCTTGCTGATTGGTTCTGACTTCCTGCTGGGAGGTGGGAGGGAGGCAAGGCACATTCAAGCAGGAAATGTTAACATTTGCTGATGTATAAAAAGAAGGTCTATGCCACCCTGAGTCCCCTTTGGGGAAAAGGGCGGCATAGAAATATAATAAATTCAATTCAATTCAACCATCCCCAAATGACAGCTGCTTACATTCTGTGCAGTGCTGTGCAGCTGAAGTCTAGTCCAACTTTTGTAATGTACTTAATCAGCCCCAATAGGAGTTGGAATTTTTGTGTCTTCCTGCCCCCCTAGAAAAGGCTGTGATAGTCCTTGCCTGCATATCTGGGCAGCATTGAGCAGAAGATCGTGACAGTCCCAGCCTATGTATCCGGTTCAAACTCAGTCTCGTATAGGGTGTCCTATTTTGTATTTCAGAGAGTGTATTTAGTTGTGGTTCAACTTCACACAGGTCTGGAGTTCCCTTCCTCCTCCTGAATACTGTGTGAGCTACAGCACAGCTTTGTGAGGGTTCCAAATAGCATCCAAAAGTAAATCAGAGTCCAAGGCAAAATATTGCTCAAAGTTCCAATTTATTAAGCGAGCCGTGTGGGCATATCTGGGAAAACCTGAATCTGAAAGCTTCCCGGTTTTCCCCACCTAGTTGAAAGTTCAAGATCCTGCCCCCACGCCCACAAGTCCATCACATGGTCCAATTTCCCACTGCCATGCTGGCAGCTTCCACCCAATTTTGGTCAGATGCAGAGGTGCAGAGACAAAGGATGACCTTGGCTTTCTACAAAGAATTTTGTTATGGCTACACAGCATCTCACTCCTTACAATTCCCCCCTCCCATTTTCCCACAATAGAAAATGCATAGTAGAATATCAGAAAGTGTGGCAGGCCAAAGATCCAAAAGAAAAGATGACTGCAGGCCTGGCACCCCTGTTACTGGGAATCAAGCAATATCTAACTTCAATAAATAAATACATCTATATATACAAGTATATGGCTTGCTTTTCGGTTGCCATTTTATCCAGGGTTTGTGCTTTCTTATAAACTTGTAAAACATTCTATTTTGAGCTTCTGTATCTGCAAGAAATTGCTGGAGCATAAGTTAATCCATATAGCCAAATGGCATTTCCATGAACTGCAGTCATCCATCTAATAAAGATGCCAGGGTCACAGTTGGTAACCATTAGTTTCATGCTCTGCTTGGATACCTCCCAGAGACATCTAATCAGCTCCTTTTGGACATGAAACGCTAGCCTAGAGGTTTGTTCTCACAATGGACTTCTTATGTTCTTCCCAGCTAGAGAGGTAATAAGAACTAAATGTAGCATCAAAGGGGAAGGTGGGAAGGTGTCAAGCCTAATGCAATATTTCCACACCAAAATATATTGAAGTCCACAGTTAAAAGAACTTAACTTATAAACAGCCTTTTTCAAAAATGTATCAGCGAGCAACGTATAATTAAGGATGAAACAACTGGAGATTGTAAATCTTAGCTTTTGCTTGCTTTTTCTTTTCTTTTTTTACAAGTAACCTTCTCTTATGGATTGTTTCCAGATGTAGAGATTCCTCCTCCCTCTCCCCCATTTTGTAACATTAGCCCTCAGCTGAGTCTCTTCCTGAAGAAAAGGAAAACTGGCTAAAATATTAGCAGGACAATATGGTTCCTGTTTTGAGGTCTACTTAAAATCAAGGGGAAGAATTAACTCATTGCTGCCCGACCTGTACTCCTTAAAAACATGGGGATTTTTTTTTTTTTGGTTTAACATTTTCCTGTTTCTGAAATAATTGTGCTTAAATTGTTGGTGGTGCATATATTGTATCTGCTTTGTTTTAAACACAAACTGTTATAAATGCAATGGCTTCTAAAATAAACCTAGACCCCCCCCCCCTTATGTTGGAAGAAAAATCTGGTCCGGGAGAAAGACATTGGAAATAAAATGGGGGCACGCTGCAGAAAAGTTCTCTGTTTATTTGGTAGCCAGAAACTTCAGTGACAGCAGCATGTTTCTGGGGTAGCTGACAAAATGGGCTTGAGAGTAGGTGGGTTTTTATACCTTCTTTGGGGCTTTGTGATTGAGATGCTTGTTCCTGTGCAAGAATATATCCTTCAGTATTTTAATGGCTGTTGTCAGATTTCGGTGGGATCATGTAGGGGTCATGGTGGGCTCTTCAGGCAAAAGGGGAAATGCAAATCCTAGGTCAGTGTTGGTGAACCTTTTTGGCACCGAACTACAGGGAACTGCTCTTCCGATTTCCGGAGCTTCCATGTGTGTGAAGACCAGCTGGCAAAGACCACCTGGAAGAGCAACAGGCGACAGCTGGCGTGCCTGGAGAGATGGCTCTGTGTGTCGCTTCCGGCACGCATACCATAGGTTTGCCATCACGGTCCTAGGTGTTTGAGTTAATCTTGTCTGCTTTGGTTTGCCTAATTGTGTTGCTTATTTGGAGTCTCTCTGCTTAAACAAATTGGCCCAGTCTTTCTGAATGGATACAAAATCTCCATTCCTAAAGACCAGCCTCTTCAAGCTTCTGCTTGAGGCTGCTTTCCTATGGCAGGAAAACTGGGGCTGTGTCAGAGTGTGCTCATTGTGACTCTGTGAGACAACCCAGGAGCAATAACATCAAATAGAGGTTTGTAATAATAAATAGTGATTTATCTCTACAAAAGAATATACATGCACGTTCTAGGCAAAGGTCAAACAATCAATTCTGCCTTTGTTAAGATTTTTCTCATCTTCTCCTTTAGAGGAAATATTCCATCCTGCCTCTTTTTAATATTAAGAATGAAGAATATTTTAATCTGGGAGGGGCAGGCTTTCTACACTTGTACCAATATACCGGCCACTTAAAGGTTGGCTACCTTTAGGTTCTTATCTCCTACAGGGCAGATAACATTACCTTGTAACATCGAAAAAGAAGGAATAAATTTCTATCTCTTTCTCCTTTTTCCATTTTCTTTCCTTTTCTTAGCAAACAGGATGCTCTCACATTTTATGATTGCTACTTAATACAGGTAGTCCTCGACTTACAACAATTCATTTAGTGAAGTTACAGAGTCACTAAAAAAAATTGGCTTATGACTGTTTTTCACACATGACTGTGGAGGTGTAATTATAGTCATGTGATCAAAATTCAGATACTCAGCAACTGACATGTATTTATGACGGTTGCAGAGTCCCGGGGTCATGTGGTCATCTTTTGCATTCTGACAAGCAGTGGGGAAGCCAGATTCATTTTACAACCAGGTTACTAACTTAACAACTGCAGTGACTCGCTTAACAATGGTGGCAAGAAAGATCGTAAAATGGGGCAAAACTCACTTAACAACCCTCTTGCTTAGCAATAGAAACTTTGGGCTCAACTGTGGCCATAAATCAAGGACTATGTCTCAAGGTTTCCTCAGAGTCATAACCATAGATTCCAAATGGTTAAATAAAACTTGGAAGATAATGCTTCCTGTTTTCCCTTGTGTTAATGTGTATATGTTCCTCTGTTCAGGCCATGGCATCAACTTGTTTGAAATTTCTTCCCACATAGCAGGTTTCTGCAGAATATGGTACTTCCGACTGCCACCGTTATTAATAAAGCATCTGAACATATTATCTGTTCCGGAGATTCTGACACTAAATGCTTATTGGTTACCAATGAAAACTACTTTGAGTTTGTTTAAATAATGAAAAAGTGGGACATCTGTTCATAAATAAATAAATAAATGCAGGAGTGTTTAGTCTGAAAGTGGTACCCTGTAGAGAGAACTAAACAATTTCCCAAAGGAATGGTTGAAAGACAAATAAGTAGTTCTATTGAGAAGGAAAAGCAATAAAAGGTTTGACATGATAGCAAACATCTTATTAATTAATGCTGGCAGGCAGAATGTTACTTCTCCCAATATGACAGGAAGACATAACTGCATGGCCAATAGCTAGATCAGGGATGTTTTCATTCGATTTCATTGAGGGCCGCATCAGGATTGTGTTTGACCTTGGGGGAGGGGGAGGGGGGCGTGACCAGCTCGATGTCACTCGTATCGGGGTGCCTGTGGTGGCCTGAGTACTCTGCCAGTGAAAACAGAGTTTGGGAGACCCACATGCTGGTAGATGCACCATGGGCTGCTGTTTCCAGGGACACCCCGTGGGCCAGATCTAAGCACCCCACAGGCTGGATCCAGCCTGCGAGCCTTGAGTTTGACACCCCTGAGCTAGATAATAGGTTACATTGTTCATGTAGCTGTATTGTTCAGAGCATCAGGCATTGTTCTCCAACATCACTGGCAGAGATTTTCATTATTTGCTATGGTATCATTTTAGCTAAAGAGGCCACTGATCCAATGAAGGCCTTCCCTTATGCAAAACACGAGAGTGGTTGGTTTTTCCCCATCCTAGAAATTTTCCACCTTTAAGAAAGATAAATTGAGGCAAATTGAAGCTATCCCCTCTATGAGAGTAGCTTTCCCAAATCTGGTAAGTGTTGTGAGCATCAAATACCGACATATATTGGGATGGTAGGATTTGGATTTCAGTATATGAGGAACACCAGATGGAAGAGAGCTGAATTGCAGATTCCTAGACTGTGAGCTTTAAAGGAGGGTGCATTAATCATCAAGGACGTGGTTTATATTAACATTTTTTCTAAATATAGCTGCTTTCCTCTCCCTTCCCCCCACCTTTCTCTTCACAGAATTGAAACAGTTGGCCAGCCGGACAAGAAAGATAGTATTGGAGTTTGTGTTGAGAAGCTGAATGGCTATGATTCTTTGCAACGGGATAGAGCTGTATGCATTAGTACCAATGGTGAGTTATGAAAAGATCTGATTTGGCCAACCCTTCCGATCTGCAATCCCCACTGTATCCTAATGTATTGTTATTTTAAGACCTACTGTATATAGCAGTGATGGCAAACCTTTTTGGTGCTGAGTGCCCAAAGCGCACATACCCCCCAAATGGAATGTGAGCCCCCCCACACGCACATGCGCTCTGTGCCCCCTTTTGGCTTCCAGGTTGGTGCAGGAGGCCTTCCAAGCCTAAAATGGGGCATGTGGTGTGTGTGTGTGCACTTGCACGAACCCTCAAAATGCAATGTGAGTTCCTCCGTGCATGCACTCTACATGCACGCGCACACCCCGTGCATGTGCAGTAGCGGCCTGGAGGCCAGCTGTGAGCAGGAGGTGTGCACGCAAGCGCAGTAGAGCTGGCCTGGGGCGATGACTGGTGTGCCCTCAGAGAAGGCTCTGCGTGCCACGGGTATCACGGGTATCGCCCTCACGGGTATATAGTTTATGACATGCAGGAATCCTAAATAGGTGGTGGAAAATTATAAATGTGATTTCCCAAGATTGTCAAGGAAGGTGCAAAAAAATCGGTATCTTGGGAAAGAGGCATGTCAAGACATGCTATCCATGTCCTAGCAGGCTTCTAATTTTCAAAAGCCTGACGGGGGCTAGAGCAAAGGTGCTCAACTACCCCTTCAATACGTACCATCATAATGATGATAATGATGTTATCCATTCAGTTATGTCTGACTCTTGGCATCTTCTGACCTTGCACTATTTCTTGGAGTTTTTCTATGCTCTGGCTGGTGTCAGCTTTGATGGTGTCCAGCCATCGTGTTCTTTTGATGGCCTGGTTTCCTCTTAACATCATCATAATACACCCTCCTTTTCATTTGGCAGGGGGGAAATTATAAATACATGAAGATCAGTAAATCCTAACTTTTATGTCATTAGCTTCTAAAGATTATAAAAAAAGGTGCCGGAATGCGTGGAAGTTGATAAATTAATGATGGAACTAAGGGATAGAGAGGAAACAGTATTATAAGACATGGAATAGGTGGTATAATTGGCTAGAAAAGAGATACAAAATTAATGCATAATGAATACATAGAAAGTATAACAAAAGGAAATGGTATACATTTAGAGAGCAACAGAGGTGTAAATGTTGTATATATTATATAAATGAATAACTATGAAATAAGGAGGTATATGTATAAAACAATAGGCCTTAGAACGGAAAATTCAAAATTAGAAAAAAAAAATACCGATAACGGAAAGCTGTAAAAGTGTAACTGTGATTTTAATGTTTTAAAAATGTTGAATAAAAATTATTTTTTTAAAAAAGCTTTGTACGGAGAATGTAGCCCTTGATCACAAACAATTAGGCAACCCTTTACAACAACATTTTTTAAGATTTGCCATACCACTTGTAAATAAGAATTGTGAACTGAGAAAATAATTCCCCCTAATAATTGCTGCCAGTATGGTAAATGAGTACAATGGATGTGTGTGTCAGACACTATGTGGAATAGTGCAGAAGTCCTAACTATTTTGGGGGCAATGGGCACTCTTATAAAATGGTCTTTCTTGAGAGGTTTCATTATTAATAATTGTATTGGTCAGGAGACCAACTACCGTATTTTTCAGAGTATAAGATGCACCTTCCCCCCCCAAAAGAGCGTGGAAATGTTGGTGTGTCTTATATACCGAATACAGCCATTTTTTATTTCCCGAAGTCCCGCCCCCACATCCAATTTTTGTGGAAAACAGGCCATTTTTTGCAAAAACAAAGGCGTTTTTGCCTTCCCACAGCCCCCAGCAGCACTTTGCAGGCTTCAGTAGGGCTGGGGTAAGGCACAAACGCTTCCGTTTTTGCGAAAAATGCCCCATTTCCTGCCCATTTTTTGCAAAAATGGGGGCATTTTTGCCTTACCCCAGCCTTGCTGAAGCCTGCAGAGTGCTGCTGGGGGCTGAGGGAAGGCAAAAACTATTTTTTCTTACTTAATATGTCTCTTCTCTTTCATATCCAACTCCCCACATCAAAAGTGAATGGTGGAAACCATCCCAGGGAACTAGATACAGTAGCAGAACATTGTCATTACCGTATTTTTCAGACTATAACACGCACCGGTGTATAAGACGCACCAAAAAATCGAAGAGCGTCTTATACACCAGTGCATCTTATAGGCTGAAAAATACGGTAATGACAATGTTCTGCTACTGTATCTAGTTCCCTGGGATGGTTTCCACCATTCACTTTTGATGTGGGGAGTTGGATATGAAAGAGAAGAGACATATTTGGGAATAATAAAATTGGAATGCCACCTTTGTTTTGCAAGCAAGCCAATTTACTGTCTTTAGTGACAAGAACGTAATTTAACAAGGTGTCCATGAAGTGTGTTGCAAATCATTAAAGAAGGTGAATTCAGAAAGCTCAGAAGTTTCATGGGAAATTGAAAACTCCTGTTATGTGAACAGGTAGGCTCACCAGCATTTTGTTCTCTATTGCAGGAGCTGTTTTTGTCAATGGAAAAGAGATGACCAACCAGTTGCCTGCAGTGACTTCAGGATCAGCTGTAACCTTCGACATGGAAACTGTGAATTTAGGCCCTTGCAATAATAATAATGGGGGGAGCTTCAAACTCAGAGTGACGATTAGTTCCAACAACAGGGAAGTGGTCTTTGACTGGGTACTTGATGAATGCTGTGGCTCTTTGTATTTTGGATGCTCCTTCTCCTATCCCGGCTGGAAAGTTTTGGTGTTCTAACTCTTAGACTGGGTAGTACTTGTCTTTCGGTGGCATCATTCAAAGGGTTTGGACTCCAATGACACAATTATTTGCTCCTTCAGGCTGTTCAATCTGTGTGTCTTTGGTATATTGCTCTTGGTTCAAGTGATCTGCTTGATGCCACTTTTCTGTAAGATAAACATTACTTGAACTCTGTCTTCTCTACTGGATTCACCTGAAATATTGGTGGAATGCTGAGTAACCTGGAAAAGTTATGTAAGTTGTTGTGTTTGCTATCGACATCATGCATTTTGAGTATTATTATTATTATTTTTTAGAACAGCTCTCTCTGTTTGGATGTTCTCCAGAGGGTCTGGACATGATCTTCCACAATCCCTAGTTGAGGACTTAATGAAAGGGGGATTATAGGAGTTGTAGTCCACCTCTGGAGATCTTCAAGAGAGAGAGCCTGGTTTTGGAATAAAAAGTAGAAATGATTCTGTTACTTTGGTCCTGCTATCAATGCTTGGTTATGCGTTACTAAAGTTTGCCTAGTGTTATTCTTTGGCTCAGGGTTAAAGGACCAAAATTGTACGCATGTTTTCCTCTTCATCAGAGTTCGGTACTGAAATGCTGTACCTCAACCTGCCAAAAGCTTTCTGTCCGCTGGGCAATAAGGCTTTTTGGCCTCTATGTTATCCTTTTCCTTCAGTGCCTTGCTATATTTTGCAGAAGAAATCTGAGCCGAAACGCTTGTTTTGGTGAGCCTATGATACCGACGTGCCTTAGTTTGGTGCTTCTGTTGAACAATATTGCAGATGTGAAATAGAAAATTTCATTCATGGCATTTGTCACTTAAGCCAGGGGTCTCCAATCTTGGCAACTTTAACACTTGTGGACATCAACTCCCAGAGTTCCTCAACCAGCAAGCTGGCTGAGGAACCTCTAGGAGTTGAGGTCCACAAGTCTTAAAGTTGCCAAGGTTGGAGACCCCTGGCTTAAGCGACATTTTCCCTGCTCCTCTGTGCTCATTGTAGTGCCTTTTACAGCTTGTGCCTTTTTCAACACAATATCACACAGTCCCAAGAGATATTTAGGGCGCAAATGTTTTAGATCTTTCTTGAATAACTTGTACGGAGCCTAGAGTTTTGTGTAGCAAGTAAATTGTCTTTACCTGGACTTGCGTTCAGATAAATTTTATAGAAACGGGGTCAGGCCAACAGGGTATACAAGGCAACTTGCAAACAAGGAGGTACCATGTAGAAAAGAATGCATTGTAGAAATCTCTTACCGTACTTTTTAGAATTTGGTTGACGTAACCAAGTTAGCAGGCAAGCCAGGTACTAATTTTAAGCAGAGAGTAACAGCTAAAGCATTCTTGCTCTCAACCTCTGCAGTTAATCTCCATTTTGCTCTTTTAATCTTGGGCACCTTTGTGTGATTAAACTAGCTGATAACTCGATCCTGTATTAGACAGGAAAAGGAATGAATTGTATCTATAGTGTCAAGTCAAAGTATTGCTGGAACAAACACACACACACACACTATCATTGACAAAAATACTGTGATTTGACACTATAGATATAATTCATTCCTTTTCATTTCAGTAGCCCAGGCGTTCCCCAGTTATGCTGGAACACAGACACACAGACACACAACCCCCGTTGTCTTACCCCCACAGTATTTGTTTCCAGAGAGTAAATCATCTGTGTACTAAGTTTGGTTGAAATTGCTCAAGGCATTCCAGGGTTATGCTGGAACACACAGACACACACTGCCATATATATATATATATATATATATATATATATATATATATATATATATAAGAAGAAGAAAGAAGATTGCCTGCATGCCCATCTCCTAAAATAGGAAACCCAATCTTGGCAGCTGTTTCCTTGCAATAGGTGTATCCCGTTAAGTAAGATTTGCAACCAGTTTCTTTCTTAAACTTTAAGTCTTCAATCCTAAGCCCAGAGGCTTTCGCTGCAGTCCTTAGCTGCCATACCCCAGTCTGATAAGTTAGCAAAGAAAGGAACTGCTGATTAAAAAGAAGAGCAAAATTCCTCCCTTCCCTTCTTATACGGTGGGATTGCCAGCTAGGAGTTACTCTGGTTTCAGCACTGTAAAAGTTGTCACCCGGTGGTAGGTCCTTTGGTTCAGGAATATGTAACTGAGGAATATGTAACATAAGGAATATGTAACCTTATTTCATGGTCTATTGGGATCTAATGATTTCTAGATATATTTCGCTTCATTTCCTGTTGGTTATCAGAATTATGGGGTTGAATTCCCAGTATATCTGGAGGCAGGATTTTGGGGAAGGCTAACGGAATACTCTGTGGAGCAGAATCTAAATAAAAATGGGTAGTCTCTTCTCTTTCCCCTCCACCCCCCCCCATCTCAAGATATCCTGTAAGAAGATAGTATTTAAGGAATATAGAATCCTATCTCTGCCCCTCCCCAGTTTAAAATCAAGCCATACCAAAATTCTTCTCTTGTACTCAGATAAATCACCACCTTGCCTTATGCTTATGTGAATATACAGTGGAAAAGGATATTAATGTATCAACGTTCCTCTTCTAGGAATGTCAGATGCAAACCAGATCATCCATATACTTTTTATCTCTCATTATTGATCTCTGTGAAAATGTATCCGAGCATAAAATAAAACTGGTACCAAAAAAAAGGAAGGAGATATTTTAGTTCACCTTTAGCTTTGTATGTTCATTATATAATGGTAGGTTGGAAGTTCTCCCTTCTTTTTAGAATGCTACACATAAATCGGGATTTGTGACGGTATTCAGACACGTATGTATGCAGTTCCCTCTTAAAGGATTGCCACAGGACAATTTGCGATCTCATGTATACCATACAAAATGCCCTTACAATGTTCTAAAGTAAATTTTTTTTAAACATACGGAATGGAGGACATAATCCAAATGTTCTACTTTTAGAAGACCAAAAACTGTAAATCCAAATTTAAAAGTCGGATTCTATCCAGATGTCTGGGTTTATAGTTCTTATCTTTCCCTTGGATAGAGTAAGATCTTCATTTTTGAATATACCACAGACCTCTGTCTTGTATGAGGAAGGCATGTTAATGCTGAGCTAATACAGAATTTTCCCCCTTAAAACTTTTGTAAAAGCTTTTTTGCTATAGCAATAGAAATTTGTTCCCCCAGCAAAGGCTGACTTTCTGCAGCAGGGGATGGAAGAGAAAGAGGAAATAGAGAGATTTTATCTCTTGAGAGTGTAAAGGCTGGTTTTTAAAAAAAGCTATGAAACAGGAAAGCTATTCAAAAGCTTACCTTGAACTTGATATGAGCAGCAAAAATGTTCAAAAGAAATCGAATCAGTATTTTAGAGCCGTAAGAATTCTGAAAAATTGGATTCTTTGTTCAGACAGTATTCATATGAGGGGGCAATACTTGGAGGCAAAGTTAGCATGGAATTATGTTTTGTATGCACTTGTATGTATTTACCTCAAGATACTTTGTATCATGACCTTTGAATAAAGATTTGACTTATTGTACCCTATCCAGTAGTGAAATCTTTTCTCTGGAGGTTCACATTCATCCTGGTCATGGTTGCTCTAAAGGTGCTTTTATTTTAAACACAACTGGACTTTCTGATTTAAATTCTGCATTTAAAATCCTTTGGGTCTTTTCTCTGTTGATCTTCAAGAGAAATATCAGGAAATGAATATATAACAGCAAATAGAAAACAGTTGCTTAAAATTATGCTGTAGAAAGCCCAGGAAAGGTTTTTTGCAAGAAAATTTGGTTCTAAATTTATTATTTTTGAAAGCCTACATTTCTTTAGAAATAGTAATGGTGTCATTGCCCTCATATCCAGAAATTTTCAAGTTGTATAGTGTCAAAAGTTGGGATACAGAGTAAATCAGTGATGTTTTTAATATTTTTGGTAATTAGTAAATACAGCAACAGAAAAAAATGAAAAAAAAATAGTATTTTGTTTCTGTTGTGCTAGGACCCAAATTCTTTGAAAGTGATTGAAACTACAGAAAATTAGGAGCCATTGTTCAAAACTATTAGTATTCCTTTCAATGGAAGTCAGGTAGACACCTGCCATCCTACTAAAAGTTTAAAAATAGCAAAGAAATTTAAATAATCATAATTATTTCCTTATTTTATTCAAAGTTTGAATACTGAAGAAAATATTCCTTACCTTTTGCACCAAAACAAGATACCAGAGTAGCAATACACAGAACAAGCCTTGAGGGTTTAGCAGTTTTATTCCCCAGAAACTTTGTGCTTGAACACTGCATCAGCTCATAATGGAACATGAGTTCAGTAAATGTATGAACAAGAGGAATACTTATATATGCCAACTTATATTTAACACAGAAAATTGCTCTTGGAAATAGCTGATCACCCACTCCTTAAAGTAGGGCAGTGTGGTGGTTCAGCGATTAAGGCGCTGATCTTGTCAGCTGGAAAGCCAGCAGCTTAGGTTCGAGACCTGAGTACCACACAACTGGGGGTGAGCTCCCATCCTCACTCTGGCTCCTGACAACATTATCACTGTAATTGATTTTCACTATGAACAACTTAAAACGATAGGTAAATGATGAAAGGGCATTATCTCTATATAGTTAAGCTAGAGAAGGAAGAAGCATGAACTATTGAGCAGACCAATATCAAGAAGTTTTTAAGCAATTACATTTTATGCTTTGAATTCAGCACATTTCTAATAGCAGCTGAACTAAAGTGCTAGAACCATTTGCTGAATTCCCATTAGAAAAAATTGCAAAATAGTTGCTCCTCAACTTAAAACCATTTAACAACTGTTCAAAAGTAACAATAGTGCTGAAAAAAAGTGACTTGTGACTGGTCATCACACAACTACTGCAGTGTCCCTAGGTCACCTGATCAAAATTTGGGCATTTGTCAACCTGTACACACATACCTAGGCAAATGATCTTGGTAAAAAAAAAAGTCAAAAAAATGTGATTCAATGACAGCCATCACTTAGCAAGGGAAGTTTGGGTCCCTCTTGTGCTTTCAGTTGAAGACTACCTATTACTCTGATTTCAGAGGGGCTGCACGTATGGCCCTGGTTGAATTTGTGTAGATCAGACATACATTTGGAAGTACGCTTTTACCATCTTAATTTTCCAAAAATTTTCTACTTGAAATTAATGTTGTGAAAAATAATTTTGCTTTTATATCTTAGAGATTGGCAGACAGGAAAAAAAACTTTGTTCCCTATCAGAACATTTAATCCCTTTGTGGTCAATCATGGCAACAGACTTTATCTTTGTGATACTATTGGTATGTTTTATCTTGATTTAACTGCAAATCTTTAAAAAAAGGATCTCCAGAATGTAGACAGAAAAAGGCCATTTCAAGTTCTATCACAGGCCACAATTAGTCCAAATGCAAATACAGCACACACACCCCCTCCAACTAAATTTGCCTGGTTCTGAATTCACTTTGGCATATATATGAAAAGATTCAACATGACACCTTGGCAGATTTTACATATTGAACTTTATGTACAAAATTCAATTTCAAATAAACATTTAATGTAAAAACAAAAGGTTCATTAAACAATTCTTTATCTACTGTACCATTCAAATGTTCATCCAGTTTACATGATTTTTTCAAAGTCTCATTAAGAGTACATATAGAAAATCCATCTTTATTATAAATAGAAACAAAGGGATTCTCAGCTTTTATTATAAATGGACATGACATACAAAGTTTACTTGACAGAAGTAATTTGATTACTATTTTTGGGGGTCATCAACTTTTTGTGCAAAGAATGCTAGCCTCCTTTTAAGCATTGAGAGCGCAACTGCTTAAGTGACATAAGCAATAACTCTACATCTATGTCTCTCCTAAAATATTTCTTTACATATGTGCACAGCT